AAGGTTCGGGTTGCCCTGTGTGCAGTGGGTGGGCTGGTTGGACCGTCTGACTCCCCCAGTGCCTCTGGGTCCCAGCCCTGGGCCGCGTGGGGCAGCAGCTCTCACCCCGCAGTTCCCAGCAGTCAGAAAGCCCCTCGACCAGGCTCTCCTGCCCCCAGCCCACCCCTGGGAGCAACGGGGCACCTGGCTTTGGAGGCCCTGGGTGCAGCAGCAGCCCCCTCCCTCTGCCCCAGACGCAGGCTGCTCCCTCCCCCGGCCAACCAGAGAGGACAGGGCAGGAAACTGACCAGACCCCCTGCACCTCAACGCCTCCAGTGCCATGACCTCCCCCCTCTCCTGGGCCCACCCCAGCAACAGGGCCTCCGCCCCCGCCTGCTTACGGGCCACTTTCTCCTCGTTGCTCAGCTGCTTCCAGGACCCCTTCTCCTTCTCCTTCAGGGCCTTCTGCTCGGCGCCCAGCTCCTGCTGGTAGGGGACGTCGGGGAGCGGGGAGCTGCGCTTGTCGTAGTAGTGGGGCACCGACATGTCCTCCTGAGTCGCCACTGGGGAGCGAGAAGATGGCAGCGTCCGGCCTCGGCAAAGCCCCAGCGCAGCCCTGCTGCTGCCCCGGTGCCCCCCATTCCCCTGGGCGGGTCAGTGTTCGGGGCTCGGCACAGCGTCACCGCAGGCCTGGCCCAGGTCCTGTTCCCCTGCTCGGGCTGAGCGAGAGGCCCCCAGCAGCTACTAACCGGGCAGGCCCTGAGGGGTTAACAGGGGTCACCAACCAGGAGATCGGGATCGACAGGGAGAGCTCGGCGCCACTGACAGGCGATCCTGACTGGTTTGGCCAAGAGGCTACAAGCCCAGCACTTCAGGGCAGGGGAGGCAAAGGAGGGGATGTGGATGTCAAGGTGCCCCTCTCCCACTCTGTATCCTATCTCCACAGAGCAGAATGGGGGGGCACAACAGGGCTTGGGAGGGGGTTTGCTGGCTGCCTTGAGAGGGGGGCAGGGCCAGGGCAGGGGTGAACCTGCCTTAGCCCCGTGGCCCCCCACCCAGGGGCCACCTGGGGTCAGCAATATGCCTTAGTCCCATTGTACCACCACCCAAGAGCCACCTGAGGTAAGCAGTGTCCAGCTGGAGCTAGCTCCAAACCCCTGCCCCAGTCATGTATCCCCTCCTACCCCTAAAGCCCCTGCCCTAGCCTTGAGCCCCCAAACTCCCTTATAGAGCCTGTACCCTGCACCTCCCTGCACCCCAACCCCTTCCTCAAGCTCAGCTCAGAGCCCCCTCACACTCCAAATCCCTTAGCCCAAGACCAGATCTCGTGCTCCAACCTGCTGCCCCTGCCTGGTGAAAGGGAGGGAGGGAGGAGGGGCGGGGCCCGAAGGGGGCGGGGCCAGGGTGTTTGGGTTTGAGGTGGATCCTGCATTGCACTTAAATTCAGAAAGTGATCCCCTGCTCAAACAGGCTGGAGACCCCTGGGCTAAGGGGGTAAAACAAGCCGCTGGTTGTGGAAAGTGGGGACTGGTGCCACCTGGTGGATGCACTGGGGACAGCGCGTCCCAGATCCCCCAGGTGCCTGGCAGGGGACAGAGAACTGGGCTTGTGACTCATTTCCTCTTCTTTCCCCTGGTGCTTCCCTGGGGAGGCTGCCAGTGCGGCGGGAAAGGGGATAACATATTGCAGCAATGGCGAACGCGTCCGATGCCTTTTTTGGTTTAGTTTTCACCATGCAAGTGAGCAGCGAGCGGGCGACCTAACCCCGCGAACATCAGGGCATGCGGGGAGGGAGCGAACCGAAAATACCAAAAGAGCAAATTTAGATTTACGGGGACAAGTTCGATGACTTCACGTCAGCCGGGCCGGCTGGAATTCCCCCTTGAATACTCATGGGACTGGCTGAAGAGATCTCCAAGCCACTGGCAGTACTCTCCGAGACATGGGGGAGGATGGAAAAGAGCTAAAAAAGGATGAAGAAAGGGCAAAAAAAATTAAATAAATAAAAAGAAGGCGGCAGACAAGCCAGGGAATTATAGAGCAGCCAGCTTAACTTCCCGGCCAGAAAGATAACCGAGCAACCAACCCATCAACCAATCGGTAACTGACCAGAAGAAAACAAGGTGACAACACATTTTTGTCAAGAACAAACCATGTCAAATCACTCTCACACCCCTCTATGTCAAGGTGACAGGCCTAGGGAGCAGGGGAACGCAGCAGAGATGATACTGTTTGGCTGTAACACAGCTTTTGATACTGTCTCTTATGAGCCATCTTAAACTAATGAGAGAAACAGCCAAGATGAACCAGCTGTAAGGTGGGTGCTTGGAAACTCCTGCTGGAGCATGGGTTTGCATTAAGGATGTTCAATTTCAATTAATCAACAAATAGAATAGTCGGTGCAATTTGCATCGACTATTCGATTAGTCGATAAGGGCACCTCTGCCTTTGACATGTAGCAAGGGGCCTGCCAGTTGTTGTAAGTTTGCAGATGATACCAAGCTGGGAGGGGTTGCGACTAATCTGGAGGATAGAGTAATTCAAAATGATCTGGACAAATTGGAGAAATGGTTTGAGGTAAACAGGATGAAGTTTAATAAAGACAAATGCAAAGTGCTCCACTTAGGAAGGAACAATCCATTTCACACACACAGAATGGGAAGCGACGTACGGCAGAAAGGGATCTAGGGGTTATAGTGGACCACAAGTTGAATACGAGTCAGCAGTGTGATGCTGTTGCTAAAAAAGCAAACATGATTCTGGGAGGCATTAAGAGGTGTGTTGCGAGCAAGACACGAGGAGTCATTCTTCTGCTCTACTCTGCGCTGGTTAGGCCTCAGTTGGAGTATTGTGTCCAGTTCTGGGCACCGCATTTCAAGAAAGATGTGGAGAAATTGGAGAAGGTCCAGAGAAGAGCAACAAGAATGATGAAAGGTCTAGAGAACATGAGCTATGGAGGAAGGCTGAAAGAACTGGGCTTGTTTAGTTTAGAAAAGAGAAGATTGAGGGGGGACATGAGAGCCGTTTTCAGGTTTCTAAAAGGGTGTCACAAGGAGGAGGGAGAAAACTTGTTCATCTTGGCCTCTGAGGATAGGACAAGAAGCAATGGGCTTAAACTGCAGCAAGGGAGGTTTAGGTTGGACATTAGGAAAAAGTTCCTAACTGTCAGGGTGGTCAAACACTGGAATAAATTGCCCAGGGAGGTTGTGGAATCCCCGTCTCTGGAGATATTCAGGAGCAGGGTAGATAAATGTCTAGCAGGGATGGTCTAGACAGTGCTGGGTCCTGCCGTGAGGGCAGGGGGCTGGACTCGATGACTCTCGAGGTCCCTTCCAGTCCTAGAGTTCTATGATTCTATGAAAGGCGGAAGCGCTGCGGGACGCCCGGGGCCAGTGGGGGACTCAAGCAGTTGCCATTTTCCCACTCCCTTTTTAAGCCGGCTCCCCCCAGCACTGGCTCCTGCCCCCACGCCCCCGCTGCCTCTCCCTGTTAGTCGACTAGTCGCTTACACCCCTAGTTTGCATTCCGGCTGGAAGGGCATGTTGAGAGGGTCCCGCGGGGGTCTGGGGTTCTAGTCAATATCGTCAGCGGTGATTTGGATAATGGCATAGACAGCACAGGAGCAAGTTTGTGGATGACACCCAACAGGGAAGGTTGCAAGTGATTTGGAGAACAGGGTTGGAATTCGAAATGACCTTGACTAACAGGAGAAACGACCTGAAATAAACAGGATGAAATTCAATAAGGACGACTACAGCGCGCTCCACTGAGGAAGGAACAATCTGTTGCACACACGCAGACTGGGAAAGCAAAAGACAGGACTATGCAGCACTTTAAAGACTAACAAGATGGTTTAGTAGGTGAGGAGCTTTCGTGGGCCAGACCCACTTCCTCAGATCAAACAGTGAAAGAAAATTGGCACAACCATAGATACCAAAGGATACAATCAAACAAATGAACACATATGAAAAGGACAAATCACATTTCAGAACAGAGGGGGGTTGGGGGGGAGGTAAATGTCTGTGAGCTAATGATACTAGAGGTGATAATTGGGGAAGCTATCTTTGTAATGGGTAAGATAATTAATGTCTTTGTTTAGACCTAGGTGTAAAGTGTGGAATTTAAGCATGAATGACAGTTCAGAGGATTCTCTTTTAAGTCTGGTGTTCTGTTCTGAAATTTGATTTGTCCTTTTCGTATGTGTTCATTTTTTTGATTGTATCCTTTGGTATCTATGGTTGTGCCAATTTTCTTCCACTGTTTGATCTGAGGAAGTGGGTCTGGCCCACGAAAGCTCATCATCTAATAAACCATCTTGTTAGTCTTTACAGTGCTACATCATCCTGTCTTTTGCTTCAGCTACACCAGACTAACACGGCTCCATTTCTATTACTTTTCAGAATGGGAAAGGTCTGCCTAGGAAGGATACTGCAGAAAGGGATCTGGGGTCACAGTGGATCACAAACTAAATACAAGTTACTAGTGTGATACTGTTGCAAAGACCATTCCGGGCTGTATTCGCAGAAGTGTTGTGACATTGGAAAAGGTTCAGAAAAGGGCAACAGAAATGAGGGGTTTGGAACAGCTGCCATCTGAGAAGAGATTATTAAAACTGGGACTTTTCAGCTTAGGAAAGAGGAGACTAAGGGGGGATATGATCGAGGTCTATACAATCCTGACCAGTGTGGAGAAAGTGACTAAGGAAAAGTTATTTACTTGCTCCCATAACATAAGAACTAGGGGTCACCCAATGAAATGAATAGGTTGCAGATTTAAAACAAACAAAAGAAAGTTTTTCTTCATATAATGCACAGTCAACCTGTGGAACTTCTCGCCAGAAGCTGTTGTGACGACGAGGACTTTAACAGAGTTCAAAAAAGAACT